CTCAGTAAAGGCAATAGCCCTGTTACTTCCACAACAACCCACAGTTCAGTGACAACCCACACTCAACCAATACTCAACCTCTGAGTGTGGGTTATTGTGTTGTCTGAGCCCAGTTACAAAGAGATCTGACTTGTTCTCTGCTTGAAGTGGAAGGTGCTGGCTGCCATCTGATGGGGGAAGCCATGGACCCTGGAGTGCACTTCTCCATGGATGCTCAAGGATTATATGTGGGCAAAACAAAACACAAAACAAAATATCATGAATAGTATACAACACTAGTAAGCTCCCCAGGGAAGTTATTGTAACAGAAATCAGAGACAGGGAAAGCATGGAAGCCCTGAAACATCTAACACAGAAAGAACTAAGGTGTGACTTGTAAGCTAGAGTTTGTAAGCTTAGAGCTGCAGCCCTAGAGCAAATCCAAATATTGCTGTTTGCATATAAATCATATTAAAACCAAAGGGCAAAGGTTAGTCATGATGAACAGAAAGTGTTTTCATTTCTGTGAAACTCAAGAGCAATGGACATCCTTTTGACTGGAATTTTTTAATTGGTCCTCCTTACAAAAAGCAAATGTGTGCAAAGCAGAGCCTTTACAGTCAGTTCTGATGCAAATCCTGCCCTGGGAAAAAATGGTGTGATTAACATGAAGAACACTGAGGCAAACTTGCTTCCTGGGATGCACAGCAGCTTGGCAGGACTGGGAGGAGTTTCAACAGGACCACAGTAGGATAGGAAACACTTCATCTCCCCTCTCATGTATTGCTGTCCAGATTCCGTCCCCTTCCCCTGGAGCTATTTGTTAAATGAGAAAAGGCATATATGGTAAATACATACAAGCATTTAGTGTATCATCTATCTTGCCGCTGCGTTATTTTGTAATTATTGTTTCGAATGAACTCATGAGACCAATCCAAGCTGACAGCTGTGTAAGTGGTAGGGATGTTTGTACATTAGATATATGTGTGTGTCTCTCTCTGTGTATACATATATTCCTAGCTTTTGTGTAATAATGTATTTTGATTAATGCTTATCTCCATTGACTGTGACGGATTAAGGCTGCCTGACCACCAGCTAAAGGGGATTATGAAGGCTAGGCTGCTAAGCTGGTGTATAAGAAGCAAGGGAAAAATGTCTTTCACACTTTTGTTGGAGCTTCTTTCCTTTATCTAGAGAGATCGAGCTATGAATTCACCAGGGGAGACTGGAAGAGAAGAAGGCTAAATTGCAGTATTTTTTATCGCATTAAAAAAAGATAAGTGAGGGATTTATTTATTTATTTATTTATTTAATAGAAGAACAAATGCTTATCTTCATGGACCAGTAAAGATCAGGGCATTGACCACCAGCAAAGGAGGAAAAGAAAAGAGCAACTTGAGCCTGCTATAAAAAGCTTCTATACACCAGAAAAGCTCCTGTAGTCAGTTTAGAATGATAGAACTGGGAGGAAACGCATTAATAATCTTGCCTAAGCCCCTGCTTGGTGCAGGTTCTGTGTTTGCTATATGCGGAGGACAGGTAGATCTGGTGGTAAATGGATCATTTGTTTAAAAACTGCCAAAGGCTTGTTTTGAAAAGAAGCATTCTAGTGTTTGGAATTAAATATTTCTTAAGTTTGAAGCCTGAATGCAATACTTGGGTGATTTGGGAAAATTAAAGAAAACACAAATAAGTCATAAAATCTTACCAGAGACAGTTGACTTATGCAGGCAGAATGGGGAAGGCCAGCCTGTCATTTCCCAGCTGCCTCCCAAACAACCCAGGCCTTCAGAGGGCTGGGCAATGCCAGCAATGCCCAGCATCTTCCCTCCTCTCCTTTCTTGCCCTTCATGTCAGCAGCACGGAGGATGTTCTGAGCCTGCATGATAGCTGCCAATAGTCAAATCCTTCCCCCTGGCTCTTACCCCGTAATATGTTTATATGTGTGCATGTTTCTGGATGGGCAGTACCTGGCGCACATTACTATGTGTTGCAGAAACGGCTTTTTTCAGGGGCAACGTGAGCACAGCCTTCATGAAAGCTGGGAGTGCTCAGGAGCACACCCTGGTGATCAGCCAGAGGGAAAGAATCGCCCTGGCTGTTTCTTGTGCTTGTAAAAGTAGATGGCTGGTGGGGCCACCCGCAGGGCAGCCGTACAGGACAGAAAAGAGTTCTTTCGGGCATGTTAAGTGGAACATGAAAATTGGTGGCCATTTCCAGACCCATTCAGGACACAAACAGAGGACATTTTTTTGGAGTGAGGTGCAGAGTAGCAGCATCTGTGTGGTTCTTCTCACTGTCCATCCCCCGCCCCCAAACACAATACTGGTTTTAGTCCAGGAGATAAAGTGTGTGTGTGAGATGAGGAAAGCAGTGTTAGCAAGCAGTTGAGGGTATTTCTAATTGAGAGGAGCAGTTAGTAGCTTTCTACTCCTCAGTTTCGCTGTGGACTTTCTTCCCCAGTGTGCCAGGGTAGGAGAAAGACCATGGCTTTCAGCAGCTCAGCTGGCTTGCAGGCAGGTCCTGCTCTTGAACAGCTTGGCATGCTGGACTGGAGAGCTTGCTGGGCTGGCCACGGTTCCACAGAAGAGAGTCGGTCTGAATGTCAGGCGGGTCAGTGCGTTCATGGGTGGGATCCAAGCAATCTGGGCATGGAAAAGGAGGTCAGTCGCTAGTTTTGCTGTGGCTAGGTCTCTGGGCTTTGTCACCAACTTTCAGCCTGGGCAATATCACAGGGTTGTTTGGTTAAAAACGTGGAGGAGGGCTTTACAAGCCACCTTGGGTTCCTCGCAAGAGGCAAAAAACATAACCGAATAGTCATTCATCATCACTACCGCCACCGCCACCGCCACCGCCACCACCACCACTTCCTGTGCTTCATGCTGAGGAGGGCAGCCCCAGAGCCTCACACAGCATGGAAGCCCAGTGATGCAGACTGGGAGAAGCAGAGCAGGCAGCCCTGTTCTCCCTGTCCAGATCATGGGGTTTCTGCCCCAGGTGGGAAGCTGGGGTCCCCTTTAACTCCCCACACAGCACAGAATCTCAATCATCTGGGCAAGAAGACAGAGGTTCGTCTTTTTCACTGTGCTCCAATAGCTGAGTTTCTGTGTTGTGTGATGAGGAAAGGATGCAGATATCACCCTTCCCACCACCATATAGTACACAAGCTAAAAGTGTGTATGTGTGATTGTGTTGTAGGCTTTCAAACCATGGGTTAATGGTGGCTCCCTGTATATTTTTTTAAAAAGCATTTGACTATGCAGTAGTGGGATATTCATATTTAAAAAAAACACAATGTCTGGTACTGTGTATCCTTCGATATTTTTACTTATGATGCAGTAGGATCTTGCACAGTTTTTTAAAAATGTATTTTCATATAAGTATGGTCCTTATATATTTTTTAAAAATTAGTTCCCATTGCTATGGCTTCCTGCATATTTATCACAATCAAGGTATGTGGTTAGGGGGCATTACTTTTTCCCCCTAAAAATACATTTCTAGTGCTGTAGGCTCTCATACATGTTTTCAGATCAATGTATGGTGTGTGGCGTTCTTGTATACTGAAAAAAATATTGATTTTGGTGCTGTGTATCCTTGAATATTTTCAAAAAGCAACTTTGATGCAGTGGGATGTGGCCTTTTTAAATAAAAGCAACATTTATCCTCTATTTTACAGGATAGAAGGCTTTGTATGTTTTTAAAAAAAAAAACAGTTTCTGGTGTGGTGGATCCCTGCATATATTTTTCACACTTTCAGAACTTTGTCCTGTGTTCCAAAGGTTGCTTTTATGTGTGGTTCTGAGAATATAATGTCCTGTTTTAATTACCATATTTGTCATTGTTAGTACATTTCGGGATTTGTGTGTGTATGTGAGTGAAAGGCAGAGCTGTCTGTATGTTTTGTAAAGGGTTCTTGTTGGCTTCCCAAGCAATCTACTCTCTTTGACACATGCAAAGAGATGCCCAAACTTCCTCATGTCCAGTCCAATCCTTCTGTGTAATCTGGAGTGTTGTACTGTGCTGGTTTGAAACCTATGAAACCAAAGTATCTGTTTATTATTGTTGTTGTCATCATGGTTATCTCTATATCCCACCATTTTTCCTCTTATAAGAACTCAAGGTAGCTTACATTTAGGTGACATGTAATATTCCATAAAATGGCTCTTCTCCATTTTGTCTCCACAACAGCAACAGCCCTGTGCGGTAGGCTAGACTGAACATCGGGGACTAGTCCAAACATCACCAGTGAGCTTCCTAGCTAAGTGTGCATTAGAACCCAATTTTCTGAGTCTCAGTCCAACACTCTAATCACCACGCCACACTGGCAGCGGTTTATAGAATATGTTGCTAGTTGCGAAGTCATGTCCGACCCTTCGTGACCCCATGGACAACATTCCTCCAGGCCTTCCTGTCCTCCACCATCCCCTGGAGTCCACTCAAGCTCACACCAGCTGCTTCAGTGACTCCATCTAGCCACCTCATCCTCTCCAGTCCCCTTCTTCTTTTGCCATCTATTGTTCCCAGCATTAGGCTCTTCTCCAGGGAGTCCTTCCTTCTCATTAGGTAGCCAAGTATTTGAGTTTCATCTTCAGTATCTGGCCTTCTAAAGAGCAGTCAGGGTTGATCTCCTCTAGGACTGACTGGTTTGATCTCCTTGCAGTCCAAGGGACTTGCAGGAGTATTCTCCAGCACCACAATTCAAAGGCCTCAAGACTTTTACAAAAAGAAAAGTTAGGATCCATTTAAATCCTAAGAAGCTGCCTTGCTTTTGAGTATGCATCCAGATTTTAAGGTATGCATTATTGTACCTACTCAAACCTTTTGAACAGTCCAACAATAAAATGAACATTGTCTTCATTTTTTTTGTTTAAAAGCATACCTTGATTCAGTACAATCTATTGATGTGAATAAGATATTGTCATTTATGATACGGAGCAAGCTTTTCTCTCTCTTTGTTGATGTTGAGGAAAATGGATTTAAAAACATGTATAAGGCTGGACATTCTTCCCTTACTAATCTAGGCCATGGAAAATGTGACTGTGGAAAGTGCAAGTGCGAAGAAGGCTGGTTCGGTGATGCTTGCCAGTACCCAGTGACCTGCAACCTCACCCGGAAGAAAAGTAATGAAATGTGCAAGAATTCTCAAGATATCATCTGTTCAAATGCAGGTGAGGTTTTTATTTTATTCTGATGGACTTACATAGCTATGCCTCTCAGAATATCTGTTAGGTGAGATTTTATTAGATAGGACCTAGGGAAAATGTCCAATGATGGAAACATGTTGAAAATCCAGCATGAGCACAGAGCATGAAAAAATTTGAATTACCATGTTCTTGTACGACTTCCAGACTTCTTTCTTCACTCCTCTCACTTAACACTAGAACCCACACGGGCATCCCATGAAGCCCAATGGCAGGAGAGGCAGGGCAGATGAAAGGGGGCACTTGAACCAACAGTGCATAGTCAGACTCTGGAATGCACCACTGCAACCTGCAGGAATGCCCACGACACTTCATGGCTTCAAGGGATGATTCCATAAATCATGGAAGACGAAACGATCAGTGGTTGGTAGTAGCTATGAAGGCTATCTATTGCAACCAGCATGAGAAACAGTGTGCCACTGTGTTCATTCTCGGCTTGTAGGATTCTCTGGGCATCTGTTTGGCAACGGTGGGAAGAAAATGCTGGGCTGAATTATGTGCATCTTCAGCCTGTTCAGGGACTCTCCTTATATTATATGCATGAAATAAATACTGGTTCAATACAATTCAGCACCAGATTAGGACTTGCCATCGCCTTAGTGCAAGGAGTTAACAGACTTTGATATTCCTTCCCACGCTCCGACCTATTCATACTTATTTCATGAAATCTTGGTTTCTGGTCTTCGCAGGAACATGCCATTGTGGCAGATGTAAATGTGACAATTTAGAAGGCAATGGATTGATTCATGGTAAATACTGTGAGTGTGATGACAGGGAATGCATAGATGAAGAAACAGGGGAGATGTGTACAGGTAAGTATATTTATAAGAATGGACTAGTCAAATGATCATTTTCCAGCATTTGGGAGGATATTTGGACAAAAGCAAAAATCCAAGGCATAGCAGTCGTACAGTTGGTTTAATTAGAACTTAACTGCAATCCCCTTAAGTGTTTTGGGCCAAGATGGTGAATCTTGCCACACAGATCCACCATTTTGTATTTGCAAAAGAAGAAATATCTCTGTAAATTTTGCCATATACTTTGTGATCAGAGTGGCGATTGTGAAACATGTGAAGAAATATTTTTAGGAGTGGTTTTGTTGGCTTGGAAGTTATATTAGTAAGAAATATTCAGTTTAGCCACTACAGAGAATAAAGCGTGTGGTGTTGCTCCAGGCCTTCAAGCAGCATGAACATCCTCCACTGAAGCAATTTGAGGATTACTACAGGGAAAATTAGTATGTTGGTATGTTCCAATCCATATCATGCCAGTACAAACTTGTATTCCCTTCCCTGCAGTCATTATTTTGAAAATGTTTATAGCTACATAGGCCCAGCAGAACACAGCGGCAGATCAGCCCATTCTTCCATTAGCCAGAATAATTCCTCCAATTACAATAAATGAGATTTCACACAGTCTTTAACTCATGGGTACACATGAGTCCTATGCAGTTCACGGAAGAATGTTTTATAGCCTACTGGAAAAAGTTAAAAGTGATCATTTGGGTCTAGTAAGGAGTATGGAAGTTGAAGGCAGAAGATCTAATATGAAATGAACCAGTTCCATTAAAAAAAAAAAGCTATATCCTTGAGTTTACAAGAGCTGAGCAGGATATTTTGGAGGGTTCTCATTCACACAGTCACGATAAGTCCAAGACAATTCAATGGCATTTAACAATAATGACCTATGGAGGCTTTCCCCATGAGCTGGAATGCCAGAAAATCTGCATTTTCTTGATTTTTGATAGTGATTAACATTTTAATATATTTCCTTGGCCAACCACTGCGGGTGATAAGTCATGATGTGCTATTGTGTTCTGCAATTATGAACCACTTCCCATAGGGTGGTTTGTTTGTGGACCACAAGCCAACCTCCCACCTATGGAGTGGCAGCTGTAACTCTCCCCCTCCTTCCAAGCAACCTGAGACAATGGCTTTCTAACTATAGCCTTCATTCAGTTAATGCAAGCCAATTAGACTGGCTTAAAAGTACACCAGAAGTGTACTGCAGAAGTTATTAACAAAAGAAACAGGCACAGTTAGAGTATTAGCTATTAAGGATGTGTGACTTATTGGTAAGAAGTTGATTTGAAACTGAATACCCCTTCTTCCTTCCAAACTTAAATAATCTACATGCATCTAAGGTGGATCATTTTGCTTCAGGACCAGTTGCAGGAGCACCTGACACTTCTCAGCTGGTCTGCCCTCTGCTGCCTTCTGAGCTAGGTGATGGTTGATTTTTCTCCTCCCCATTAGCAAGTTAACTTTGCTTTCCCATGGTGACTTCAGCTGAGTTGCTCTGGACTATTTTCTTGGCTTATCTCTGTATCCACTGACCTTGGTATTCCAGGTGCAAATTTTAACACTTTCTCCTTAACTTATCCTCCTACATTTCTAGAAGGCTCTTTTGCAGGAGAAATGAGCCCAGTTGTGACACATGACTTGCTTTAGGAAGGATGCATGTTGGGTGCTCATGTCATGTGACCAACAGTGTCACAAATGCAGGGAGCAGTGAGTTTGCTGCTTAGTAAGAATGGCAACTCTGTCTTGCTGCTCCTGCTAAGCTCACCCTAAACCTGGCAGGTGACAGCCACTCCACCAGTGCCCAAGTCTCATGGTGGAACAAACACTGTTAGCTTGCTGTCCTTTCATCTTTGTGGGTAATTTTTGCTCACCAACTGCTTGGCCTGTCAGGCACACTATGGGTTGTTCTGTGAACCGCCAATCCATGGTTGGTTATTAGCAAGGAGCTTAGCATAATGTACAGATGTGGCCATAGAAACTGGGTTTATTCAATTGTTGAGCATTTAGACTAACAACGCAACGAGATCATTGTGATTTTGGCACATTGTTTGGGGGGTTTTTAAAATAAGGTGCTGCAGATATTATGGTGGAACTGTTGTTAAAATGTTATCTCCTGTTGTTAAATGTCCACAATGGCTATTAGTCTTATTCATCCATGCTCAAAATCTTCCTTAAGAATGTATATCTGTATAAGGAAAAACGTTCCCTGTCAACATTTTGTTTTGGGTTAAGGCCATGGCAAGTGTTACTGTGGAAACTGTTACTGTGAGGCTGGTTGGCATGGCGATAAATGTGAGCTCCAGTGTGACATCACCCCATGGGAGATCAAGAAGAAGTGCACCTCTCCAGATGGCAAAATCTGCAGCAACAGAGGTGCGTATTCTGCAGATTGCATTCTATATTGACTTTTGAGCTGGGCTAAGTTACCTTTATATTAATCTTTTGCAATATTGCAATATCACATGCTATGGTGAAAATTAATGTCATTTATCCTTAGAAAATAGTTCTAAATGGTGAAGCCCTGAGCCTTTGCCAGGTTATTTTATTGAAATACTTTTATGTGAGCTATCAGTGATTCTGTGGCAGTTTGTAATGTTTTGGACCAGTAAAATACAACAAATATTGCAAAGAAGCCTCTGTGGCAGCAGAGGCCCTCCTCTGGGAACTCTCCGTGAAAGACATTAGGAGAGGGAGTACCCAGAGGAGGGCTTTCTCTGCGGTGGCGCACGGTCTATGGAATGCACTCCCCAGAGAGGTCCACCTGGCACCATCGTCAGGGCTTTTTTTGTCATAGAACACACCGGAACAGCGTTCTGGCACCATTTTTTGACAGATATTTCCAAGTGATTGTGAATTGCCCCGTTGGGATACCGCTTGGCTTGGAATCGGTCGTGTGGTCGCACGCCGAGTGCTTACTGCAGGCAGCGACCATTGTGTAAAAGTGCGACCCCAAGATGTGAGTTCTGGCACCTTTTTTTTTTATACAAAAAAGCACTGACCGTCATTATTTGTTTTTCACCACCAGGCTAGGACCTTTTTATTTAAACAATATTTTAATAACTTTTAATATCATCTATAGGTTTTAATTTGCAGCCAGCATGAATCTGGATTTCATTTGTATTGTGTTTATTTATTTTATGTAAGCCGTCCCGAGGCTATGTGATGGGACGGCATCCAAAAATTCTAAATAAATAAATAAATAAATAAATGGTACAAAGGTAGTGTGTGAGTGTCTGCGCACATGTGTGTTTATAAAATCACACAAATTTATTGACCATTACCATAACTGGTTTTAATCATTACAAAATGGGAGTCACCTAACCCAACATTTGACTCCAGATTCCAAAAGTGGGAGACTTTTTTTAAACCACACAACTATCATACATGGAAGTAAACCATTTTCATGGCAGTATTGCCACTTCCTCTGCATACATGATCAGCCTCAGGCTCATGTGCAGTTATAACAAATGTATATGCTACTATTGCTTATGTGACATTGCAGCAATTTCCATAATATTAGCCATAACTGTGTTTGGTTTCCATTTCAAAAGAAATTTACCAGGTTTGCTCTTCCATAACCTAGACATTAACTGACATGTTGCCTGCCACTGAAGTCCCTACATTTCCGAAGTTTCTGTTGCAGCTTTAAAAAATCTGCAAAACGTTTATGTTTTTAAAAATGCACAAATGCATATATTTGCATATAAAATACACAAGCATATTTTATTCAGTGGATGAAATGCATATATTTACAAACATGATCATAAAATGCATGCATTTGTAGAAATGCTTACCAAAATTAAGATTTCAAAAAGATACACCCCCAAATGTGTATATTTTTCTGGTAAGAACTGAAAACCTCAGTGAAATTGAGCACCACATTTTCAGCCATCTCTAATTGGTAATTTCTTTTGGGAGGTGTAGTCTGACACTCACGTTAAAGCCAAGACCTGAATGGAATCTAACCTTCTAATTGCATTCACAACATTAACATTGAAACCAGATAGGTTTCAGATCCGTTTTATCAGCCATACTCTGGAATGCTCTTCCAACTTAAACACGTAGGTCTAGACCACCTCTTTGCAGCTATACTACTGGCAAATGCAGGTATTGTTATTCTGGAATAAGGAAGAATTTAAACACACATTGCGTGTGTTCGCTGATAGCTGAAAGCCATTCTTATGCTGAATGCAAGCTCGTGATTATAAAGTCATCCCAAAATCAGCGTATGTTGGGTTCTTCTTAATGCAGTATGAAAAGCTTTATCAGAGAGGATAGGGGATTTTCATATTTTCAGGTAGTGGTCAATTCATCATCTGTAATACCATCACTTTGGTCAGCGAACGCTGTCTAATTATGTTTTGAATGGAGTGAGGCTTTCACTGCCCTAAGGCACAAGGTTCAAAATTTTGAGATTCCTGAATGGCAAACATTCAGAAGGCGTGCCATGCATCTCTTTTTAAAAAAATTCTTAATAGAAGTGAAGTACAGAAAGGAAGACAAATGTAAAGGAAAAATAAGCATGCCAAGGGATCTTACATAAATATAACATGTACATTCATAACCTGCACATTCCCTCCAAAGTCAAAACATTATATCTTTTTGTCAATTAGTACTTTGTTGATGCTCACAAAAAAGATAATTATAATTCTATAAATCGACAAATTTTCCAATCACTTCAAATCAATTATACATAATCAACAATATTTTTATGAGCTTCCCTTTGTTCTATATTAATTCAACTGCATATTTTATCATTAAATTCTTTAATCATTCCACTGTTTACATAATTAGTTAATTTTGCCATCACTGCATACTCAGCCAACTTATTTTTCAAACCTCACATTTTTGGACATTCTGCTGTTTTTTATTTAGAAGCGATTGTAATTCTTGCTGCAGTTGTCACATATTTAAATAACTCTGACATTCTTTGTAAATGTCTCTGGCATTATATTCAAAGGCATAGTCTTAGGACTCAAAGGAAACCATCCAACTCTTTATTGTGAAGTGGCCAGCTAAAATCTACTCCTGCTGGGGACACCCCCCCCCCCCGCCGCCAGTATTCTGCTTCTTCTGTGTATGATTATTCTTTTGCAGTAATTTAAAGTTTCAATTCAATACCAATAATATCTGTTTGGTACAGTTTAGGAAGAACAAAGTTCATAAATGGTATTGTATTAATGAACTGTGATGCCTGTTTTCATAAAACAAATATTCAACAGATCAATGGTTATTCCTTTGGGCATGGTGTAAAGTGATTAGAAGGAAGCAAAAGTGCACATATCAAAGAGCCATCTCTTTAGTACATCTCTACTGACAAAGCTTCACCACATTATGAGCATCTAATTTAGAAAACTCTCTCATCTTAATTACAGAGCAATTGAAAGCCTGGCTGAAAGATAGAAATAATGAAAGCTCATTTTATTTTAGTTTAACAGTATTTTGTTTTTAAAGACATGCTTCTGTAGTCCTGGAAACAATGAAGAAATAAATATTATCTGTCAAATTAGATCTTTTACTCATGTGATACAATCAGAAGTTTAATCGGGACTACCACAGCCCTTTTTAATTAGCAGAATAATTTGTCCTATCTATCCTTTTCCATGAAATGGCATGATTGATCCAGTTGATTCAACTCAGTACAATTGATTTTTTGAGGGGTGGAGTATTGGTTGATTTTATCTATACCTTTATGGTTGATTTTATCTATACCTAGCCATCTTGAGAGGTTCACAAGGGAGCAATATATGTGTTTATATGAACAAACACACATATTACAATACTTTACTTCTTTGGTAGGTAGTCAGTGAACTTATATTTCCAGGTGATTTTGATAGGGAACAAAGATTCCTGTGCACACACACAACCACTTCATCACATACAGAGAACATTCTCCAGTTCGCATTTCTGGCTGCAGCACCTTCCACCATATTCCCAAGAGTGCTTCTGGAAGTCCTGCTGAGAATTATTTGCATTTCTTATGCCCATGTTCAGGGGTCGGCAACCTTTAACACTCAAAGAGCCATTTGGACCCATTTCCCACAGAAAAGAAAACACCGGGAGCCGCAAAACCCGTTTGACATCTAAAATGAAGATAACACTGCATATATAGTTTTTTTACCTTTATGCTATATATAAAAAAACTATAGTGTGTTGCATTTATGAAATCAATGAACTACTACAGAGAAAACAAATTTTTATTTTTGCATGCAACAAAAACATTTTGAACTCTGAAAAAAAAGACGCTGGGTTGAAAGTTACTTTCAAATAAAACAGTCAATGTCTATCTGAGTCCTCCTCGTATTTATGAAATAAAAAGCCGAACTTACATTATCCACTAGCAGCAAACCAAACATGCCACCTGCAGCAAACCAAAAATGCCGTCTGCTTCTGTGTGCCCTCATCCTTTTATCACGTGGTGAAATATTGAACAAACATCCCTCTCCCAATGTAATGTTGCTGGAATTTTTATAAGAATTTTCTTAAAACAAAGAAGTAGATCTATATCTTCATTATGATTTAGCTGCAGCTCTTGTTCAGTCACTAAAAACTGTTATTTTTAATCTTACATTATAAACTAGTATGATTTCTTTCATATATTTTGAATAGGAGAACAGCTTCCTGCAGAGTCAAAGTCAGTGCTAAAGGGCTGCATTCATTAAACAGCAAACCCCATAAGTTCGTTAGCAGTAAAAGCAAATGAATCTACCCACATACCATTAAATGTTCAGTTT